GGAATGCTGCCCACTTTTTCTACTTAATCCTTATTAAGAAGAAGATGCTGAGCAGAAATTTAGGTCTGTCTTATTAAGGTAAAAAGATATTTTAATACTTTCTATTCCTGTCTTAAGCTTGGGTCTGTTGTTGCATCAACTGAGTGTATCTACAAGGGAATAAAAGTATGTGTGTCTGATGGGTCTTGTGGATTAATATGTGAGGAACATCAGAAACTGCATCAAAAAGTACAGCTTTAGACTAGGTATGAGCTGTTTAAACAGACCAGCACATCTAGTCTGTGCTTCAGCTTAAGGATTCGGAGTATCCACACTGCTGGGTCACTAAACTCTGTTGTTTCTGAGGTGTAAGATGCAGGGGTGTCAGAAAGATTATCACTCCATGACCATCATAAGCACACACATGTGGTGGGAATGCCAAGATAATTTAGTATCTTGATGGCTAAAGTGATTTGGGAATGCAAAAGTGATTTGGGAATTCAAAAGCACAAGCCTGGGCATGGTGGAAACTCATCTTTGGAGACCCAAGCTAACCATGTCCATCGTGATCTGATTTATTCCCACCTTTCCTCATGCAATCAATTTGTTCCCTCCTGAAGGTGCTGAATGTGCCTTAAAGCTTAAGAAATCAATCCTCAATATTGACCCAAACAAGTTTATGGGATCCAAACCCCACCAAACCCTCTGTGATCCAGCTGCAACTCACACGCAGAGGGCACTTCCCGGGCACTACTCACCATTGCCGTAAGCCCAGTCGTCGTTCATGCGGTGCCGCACCTTCTGGTAGATGGCTGACATGGTTTTCATGTTGCTCTTCCTCCACTGGCGGCCCAGGTATTTGGTCTGGATTTTCAACAGCTTGAGGACATAGAGCTGCATCATGGCCTGCTTCACCTTCAGAGCTCGCTTCAGTATTGGGGCTGACTTAAAGACTACCAGCATCTGTCAAGAAATCAACACAGATTAATGCAACGTGTTCAAGAAAGCCAGGAGAGCACTGTCTGTGTGGCTCTGAGCATGAGCACCTGGGACACATACGGTCCAAACCCCAAGCAGGCAGAGCAGGAGTATTCAACATGCTCGGAGGGCTGGAGCAGCTCTGCTCTGGAGCCAGGCTGAGAGAGCTGGGCTCGGGCAGCTGGAGAAGAGAAGGCTCCTGAAGGGGACACCTTAGAGCAGCTCCAGTGCCTAAAGGGGCTCCAGGAGACCTGGAGAGGGGCTTTGGACAAGGGCCTGTAGGGACAGGACAAGGGGAATGGCTTGAACCTGCCAGAGGGGAGGCTGAGATGAGCTCTTGGGCAGAAGCTGTTCCCTGTGAGGGTGCTGAGGCGCTGGCACAGGGTGCCCAGAGAAGCTGTGGCTGCCCCATCCCTGGCAGTGTTCAAGGCCAGGTTGGACACAGGGGCTTGGAGCAACCTGCTCTAGTGGAAGGTGTCCCTGCCCGGGGCAGGGCTTGGAGCTGGAGGAGCTTTAAGGTCCCTTCCAAACCAGTCTATGGTTCTGTGAACATAACCAACACTTGCTGCCTGGGGCTTGAGGGTCATAGAAAAAACTATTATTTGCAGATAAAAAACTATTGCTGCATTTACAGCTCAATCTGTGACAAAAAGTGAGCACAATATAAAGCAGCAGAAACTCCAGCACTGCCAGAACAAGCTCTCAGCACGGAGGCTGGGCTGAAGCCCGCAGTGTAGAGCCAGGGACACGCTAGAGGTGCACCACTGGCAGCACACAGCAGGTCTCAGGAGGACGGGACATCACCTCACCATTGTCCTCGAGTGCTTCCACTTGGTCAGCTTGTTGAGGATCCTCAGCAAGTTAATGCAGGAGAATAAGTTTCTCCAGCAGAACTGGTTGTTGTCTCCAGCTTCCTGCAAGAGGAGAAGGAAAAGCTTAACCCAACCCTCGTGCAGCATCCAACAGCACCACCAAAGAGATGCCTTTGTGCGGAAAGTCTTCCTTTTTACTACCTGCACAAGTCTTATTTCTGCTGGAGACGAGCAGAGGAGCTGCCTCCTCGCTTGGGTTCTCATCAGGCTGCTGACAAGCCAACAGATTCCAGGGAAAACCATTCTGAAAGGCTTGGATATAATCAGCATTTTAATTTGCATTTTGATTTGGAGTCAGAGCTCAGATAAATCACATTATTCCAGCACGGGGGATCTCTATTGTGGTACATTTGGATTCCTTGTTTACAGCCAGAGGGCACATTACAGTGCTCACCACTGCTTAGAGGGCAGGTCTGGTCAATTATAGAGGATCAATTCATGAATTACCACATACTTAGAGGACATATTACAGCCAAAAAGAAGGAACCCACATAACACGCAGGGTGACACAGCAGCGTCTGCATCAGAACAAGGCTTTTCAGTAACAACGATCCCCTCCAGCTTGAGGGCAGCTGATAGATTGCTTTAAATATTAGCTTAATAGAAGCACCCCAGGCTCCAGCTTGCACAAACAGTGCCTGTGAGCAGTAAAGCCACCACTGCAGTAACTCACTTCATGTCTGAACAGCACTGAGCACAGCACAAGTGTCCCACAGATAACCCCTCTGGGGATGAGAGTGGAAGCAAGTTACAGCAAGCTACAGCCCTGAACAACTCACGGCAAACTCTGCATGATCCATGTTCTGGGATCTTCGGGAGCAGCGTGGGGCTGACCCCAGGGAGCCCCTTCTGCCAGTGTCAAACCCAGCTTTGAAACGTGACTCAGCCAAGAGAACCCCACCAGCCTTTGTTCGGAAGGGCAAGCACCAAACCATCACCTCAGTGAGGTGCTAAAATGCTTTTGTACGTATCATTTCTAGAGCAAACTGAGCCAGAAGCAATTCCTCGTTCCTTGAATGCTGGGATTTGGTAAAACCCACTCTGAGCAAACACACTTTTCTGCCAGCAGAGGCTATGCTGTGCTGGAGGCTCCTGTGCACAGGAGTGGGGATGTCACCCGGGTGTCACCGCGGTGTTCGTGGATGCTGAGTGAAGCTCTGGGGGTGCAGCTCAGCAGCAGTGTCTGCGCAGTTTCGTGTCGGTGCCCAGTCCTAATCTGCTCCCTCTGTGTTGGAAGGGACCTTAAAGGTCCTCCAGCTCCAGCCCCTGCCCCGGGCAGGGACACCTTCCACTAGAGCAGGTTGCTCCAAGCCCCTGTGTCCAACCTGGCCTTGAACACTGCCAGGGATGGGGCAGCCACAGCTTCTCTGGGCACCCTGTGCCAGCGCCTCAGCACCCTCACAGGGA